TTAATTAATACAAACTCGTTTTATATCTTCATTAATTATACAGTACATCATATACTTGAAAGTTGATAATAAAATTAATGTGCAGTATACTTTTATATATAAGATTATGCCTTTAAGGAGTGAAGAATTTAATTTCTGTGCGTAGAAAAAAGTCTTGTTTTTACGTCAATTTTCTGTTTTTCCCATTTGGAAACTGGAATAGAAAACAACATTGCGTAATTTTAACAAATAAACAGTTTTTTTTTTTTTTTTTACTTTCATTCTTGTTTTGTTTTTCTCCCCGACTTTTATCTTGAGGCCCTACTCCATAGCTACAAAGTACAAGCGTAAGTAGTACAGTAAATCGAGATAGAAAGGTGAATTAATTTACACCTTTCTACCTCGATTTAATAGCGAGAATGCTTTAACTTCTTCTGCAAATTTCGAAAATTTTAATGTAATTTCCTTAATTATCGAGTAATCTAAAGCGTAATCGAGAAGAATGGAGATTTAATTCGTCCTTCTTGTACTTTCTTTCCGAGTGCTTTCTCGTCTAGCAAATTGTATCGCTATTGAAAGTGGTTGCTTCTATTATCCCCTTAAGATGCTTCTCATAAGTCTATCTCTCTTTCTCTTTCGTTTCTCCTCCCCCTTAGCTCAATCGACCCGTCCGTATCTTGACTCCGAACTATTTCCATCGCAGGTCACGTGACGTAGTCGATGCCGTGCAGTGAGAAGTACGAAGAAAGAACTATCTGATCTCTAACTGTACGGGTTAGAAATCGATACAGGTGAGCAAAGAATTTCCAATGCATTGCAAATCTCGTAGAAAAATATAGGATAAGTTTCGTAATTACTTTAACATTAAAACGTGATCGGTACGTTTGTTAGTCTGTCGTTCGTCATTCTTGCTTCAGTTGTTGATCAGTTGGTGGTGAGAAGTTCGCTGTGACGTCAGGTAAACTACTTGGTCTGATTGGTTTGACGTCGGTTTGCCTTTTCTTTTGACAGATAAAAAAATAAATAAAAAAAAAATAATAAAATAGAAGATAAATTGATTAGAAGTTCCGTATGAAAAAAATTTTTTTAATCATTTATGCCTAATATTTAATGTTTATTTATTATAAAAATGTAAAGAAGTGAGAATTTTAAGTTTAAAAAAATAATAAAAATAATACCGAATTTTTAAGAAATTTTTCGTCTTAAAAATTTATTTTAAATTGATTTATTAAGCTGATTAAATCTAGAATTAAAAAAATAATAATAATAAAACGTGTAATTGCACATAAAATCTGGACGAGTGCTGAAGTGAGTAAAAGTGATGCTGACTCATCATCCTTGTCATTATTTCTCCCTCTCTCTCCTTTTCGATTTTTTGTTAAATTTAAATGTATTTATTGATGTTTTCTTGTTAAATTTCTAGAAAATATAGCATAAAATCTACTGTGTATCATAATATCTTAACATTGAGTAAATAAAGAAGCGTAAACTTCGTATAAAGACGATGATTTATCGATCACTATCTGCGAATTCTTATTTTCTGGATTTATCTTCTCAAGCGAGAAAATATAAAAAAGAAATAATAAATCGACTTATAAAATATATCGTATACACATTAAAATACAATATATATATATATTTATATATAAAATAAATCATTTCTTAATTAAAAATATTATATTTTTACATAATTTAAATGCATCAAAGAATGGAACCAGTTGCCTTGAAGAAAAAAGTAGTTTACCTACTTTCGGATAATTCTAGTTTTTTTTTGTTTTTTTAGTGTGTTTTTTTAATTTTAGTAAATTTAACACGTATTATAGACTTTCCCGCTCGTTATTTGGTGTATATTACGGTATAAATATATAAAAATATTAATTAAATCGATGATCTTCGTATACGATAACGATTAAAACGAGTTAATTTAGATAGGGATGAAAGGTTGTTAAGAACGTCACGGGATTAATCTTTAATGGGTCAATTTTAATGTAAATGACTTAAAAAATAATTAAATCGATGAGTTTCTTATGTGGTGATGAGTAAAATGAGTTATTTTAGCAGCGGATAGAAAGTTTTTAAGAACGTTACAGGGTTAATCTTCCATGAGGAAGTCGTCCTTGAGAAGACAAGAAACCGATATACTGTGTATACCTGAATGGTGATTGGATGGATTTACCAGACTGTTCTCCTTCCTCTCCTCTCTCAAACTGGAAGAATGCCAGACACCTATTTTACTTATCATTTCTCCTTTCAAACTATATAAGAATTTACCTTTTTACAGTCTTTCTTTTAAAGGGGATAACAAGGAAAAGAGGCAAAGTTTCATTGCTACATTTTTGGTATATATTTTGAAAATATTTATATTATATATCTTAATTTGAATGCTTTAAATTATGTAAATTAATATATTGTTCATAGTTGTGAAGAAGTAGGTCGGATTTTTTTTAAATAGACAAAAATGTCTACGTCTGTAAAGTGGGCTTTGTTGCATGAATATCTATATGACAGTGAAGCCGAGTCAAAGGGGCAAACGGTTATCAATTTATTTATCAATTTATTTCTCTTTCTAAAAATAATAACTTTGTATAAATTTTTAAAATATGATTTTTAGAAAGTAAGGAGTGTTTTTCTTCTCTCTTTATCCATAAAATTTATAATTTTACCATAATAAATACGTGCTTAACTGAAGAAAATGTCACATTATATAACGCCATTTTCAAGATTTCGGATCAATGATGATGATTTTATCGACTATAAAATTTTATTTAAAAGTTCGAACATTTGTATAGTCACAATGAAGCTATCGAGTTTCTAACGTCCTAGTTTCAATTATGCCACGTGACGGGTGCCTCGGGTATCATGTGACTTGTGACGTGTATCCGCCGTGTAAACGTCACGGCTTTGTAACACCCGATAAATCATATCTACTAATTACGATATGTAAATTGATTGTCCAGCAGGAAATTTCGTTACGTCACATGACGTTCATTGTTATCGGACTGTGACGTCAATCAGCGTGTGTGTGTGTGTGTGTGTGTCTGTCTGTACGTGTGATTACTGTACAGTATCTCAATAACCTAGGTCATCGTACCCTGTTAGGCCTCAGTGAATATTCCATCAGGCGAACTAAAGATTCTTTCATGCTCAAAGTTTAATTCAGATTTTACAGAAAATTAACAGAAGAAATGTAGATTTTTTTTATTATTTTTTTCTTTTAGTATTAAAACCTTTGTAAAGAATTTGGCAAAGTTTCCGAAATTATTGGAACAGGATGTTGTTTTTCTCTCTTCTTTCCTTTTTTCTAAATTCATATACACTCTCCTCTTTTGATATTATTAATATTAATTTTTCTAAATAATAAAATGTGTTTTTAAATACATAATTTATGTATTTAGCCTTAAATAGTGGGAAATATTATTTATTTTGAAAAGGAAAATAATAATAATTTAATAATTTTATAGTATAAAAATCCACCTTTTCTCATATAAGATAACTGATGCTTTTATGAACAACAGCAAAGCAAGCTACAAACAAAGAAATCCTTACAGAATGATGTTTATAACTGAGCTGTACACGTCTAGCATTTTCTAAGCTGGCTTCGTCAAAAAAATCGAATATTTTAGTTTTGTTTTGTTATTTTTTTATCTGCAACGAAACTATCGTTTCTAGTATATTTTGGCAAAAATATGAAATATTCTTCCGCTTTCCATTCAAGAAAAACGACGTTTTCTAGAATATTTTACACGTAACAATCGATCTCGTTTAATAATTATTCAATTTCTATAATACTTTAAACGGAGGAAATCGAACAATTTTTTTTTCGATTTATACAATACTTCATGTGTAGAAATCGATTATTTTCGCTTTTATTCATGCGATTATTCGATTTCTGTGTCCCGTAACGTTAAGATAAAGACCAGGAAAGCCGTTATTTTAACATTTCTTTATTATTCTATCTACTTATGCCGTTTATTGAACAGAACGACCTGCTGTTTCTCAAAGAAAACAGCGTGTAGAGATGAAAATCGGCAATAAATAATTACGTTTTTTACACCTTACTTTAAAGATTCTGCTTTACAGAAAAAAAAATCTACGGTTTTTGTAGATTATTCCTCTTTTTCTTTCTTTTAAATTTTATCCTCAGGATTTTCCTAGTGAAGTGTTGCGCATCTTGACTTTACTCACCCCCTGCAACTTGTCTAGGAATGAACTAGTCGCTTGTCAGGACTAATTCCATTGGATGATGGAAGCAAAGTTCGATTGTCGGATTTTAACTTCGACGAAGTTGTTTTCGACTTAAAGTGTTTTTTCAGAACTTTGTTTATAAGTTTTTTTCTTATATATAGTTTGTTCGTGTTTATATAAACAAATATGTTCATGCATAATCTATGAATGGAAGTGGATAAGGTAATAACAAGTGGCATCTGCTCTCTCCTCTCTCTGTTCTTTTTTTCTTAACATCAACATTAATCATTTATAAGTTAGAAATCATTATTTCCAATGAATATAATATGTTTCTGATTAGTTTTAATTTAATTTCCAGCTTTAAAATTAGATTTTAAAGTTGGAAAACAAATGTGGAAGTCGATTCTGGTGTGTGATTTGAAAAGGACAACTTTCTTCACTTTTCATTTTCATCTGAATTAAATTCAAAAATGTTGATATATAAAAAGATTCATCCGTTTGTTTCTAATATAATTTCCTTCTTAACAGGAAATTCTATATAAGTTAATTTTCGTTTCATTTGTTTATTTTATTATCAATTTATTTAAAAGATAAATATTACTTTTTCTCTCTCTCTCTCCATTCACATGGATTTGTTTTTCTTATTTATGAAACTTAATTGGAAATTAAAGTGCGTGTAATTATTTTAAAAGTGATTACAATTAAAATTAATTAACTTTTCATACTGATTATTTAGCATAAAAGTTGGTTTATTCAAATCATCCTTTCATTGATTGGCATTTAAGTTTGGTATTTTATTTTTAATTATCAAAAATATTACCTCTTATGTTGTTATTTTTTTCAGAAAATTACTCTGAAGTTGCAAATTTAACACTAAAAAATTGATAAATTTGATACCTATTTAATCAATATAAGCAACAATGCTGCTAAATATTGAAGGTAATCAACTAAAAGATGAGGTGCGCAAAGATAACGAGCTTAAAACATTATAACTTAGTCCACAGTTTCTAATATAAGTTTAAAATGATACAATTATTTTATATATCTTGCTGTATATTGAAATAATTAGCAGTATAGTGGCAATTAGTAAAATATGCAATGATTTAACATTCATAACTTTCATTTTTATTGTAGAAATATAAAGATAATATTTAATACAATAAATAAATGAGTTCCTTAAGAGAAATAAATCATTTTTTTTATTCATGAATCTCATATCAATAAATTTCCCAAATGAGTTAAAATATACAAATGAATGAAGAAGTTTAAGCTTAAAATAATATACTGAGCGAATACAAAGACATTACACATGAGATTATGCCCTTAGCAACTAATTAGGGAATATCTTGAAAAGTTTCTCTTCAAAATTCAGGCTTTAACATGTGATGATTTGCTTTTGAACATAGTCAAGAAATGTTTTTCATAATTTTACAATAATTGAAGACCTTGAAACAGTTACCAAAGACAGTTTTAATAATTTCCAATCATAAATGTTGAATTCTAGAAAAATACAGGAAAAATTAGGTGTGTGGGAGATAAAAAAGAGGAAAAGAGATCATTTCTAACCAGTATATATAGGTACAGTACTTTATCATCATTCTATACCTTGTAATAATAGTTTCACTTATATTGTTTCTATTGCTGTAATGTATTTTAAAAGCAATTTAATTTCAGTTTTAAGCAAAATGTTTTTTTTCTGTTTGGATGTATTTCTTTCTCATTATAGTATCTATCAGTAATATATCTGACAAATCACAAATTATTGCATTCTGTATAATTTCTTTTTCTTTTTTTTTTTTTTTTCAGTTGACATGTTGCTTTAATTATCTTGAAATGAATTTTTCTAAATCATAGTTTAAAAATTTTACAGTATAATGTATCTTTTATATAAAAAAATATATTCAGTAAACTCCTAAAGACGAATATTATAAATATAATAGCACTCAGTATATCTGATTTATAGTTTCAGCTCCAATAAACATATTTTGGTCAAGTTTTCTTACTATTTCACTGTTAAATTATTTGTTTTGAATTTTTCAGGATCTTCATCTTTAAAGCAATATTTTTATAATATATTAGTAATACTGATTACTAATTCATGCATTATATATGACTTACATGTAAGAAGAAATGTAGTTTGGCATAAAGATAACTCTTGTTTTCTCTTGTTTATTAAATTAAGTTTCCTGATAACAATATCATCTTGCTTACTGAAAACAAATTGTGATGCATGTAACATTATATTTTTATCAATTCTTTCTCTTCCTAATAAAAGTTTATTAGAGAATCAGTAATATAATCAACAAATTAAAATTTTGTTGAGCATGCTGAACAAATGATGAACATGATGACTAATGCTGAAGATTCTTGACTTCATCATAGGCCTATATTAAATGTACAATGTAGATTTTTAGGATTAATGAATTAAGTGAACCTATTGTCTTTCATTAGTCATAAATATGTCAAATTCGTTTTTTGTTTTAAACAATTGAGTGTGTTTTGTATAATTATTAATTACAATATAATAACTAATAAATTATTCTTGCATCAAACAAAACATTTAATGCTAATAGCTGATTTTTAATATATTTTTAGCATCATAAAACAAACCAAATTTTTCTTGAGGTTACACAAGTCAGTCAAAATGATGTTTCATGTTTTAGTTTAGTGCAGTGCATCTCCCCTTTATCCATAATGGCCAGATCTGTCTAGCTGCTCCCTTTCAAATAAAAAATGTGTTTATTTTATCATTTTGTCCATTATTGATTTGTTTGATTCAGGTCTCTTTCATTTTATCTATGGCCTATTTGACTATTATGCAGCCTATGCAGTCATTTTGACTACCATGTGACTAGTTTCTTTTGTTTTTGGTCTTGCTTTTCTGTTTGAAGTTTGTATGTTATATACTTAGTATTGCTGTTGTTTATAATATTATAACACAATACCAGATAATTGTGTTATAATATTATACATACTATGGACATAATTAATTAATGCTAGGCATTAATTATGTCTATAGTTTAAGGGGAGGAAGTTGTATAAAGTACATTATTTTATATGTTGAGGAGGGAAGAGGTCTAGTGGTATTAGTAGCATTTACATTTTTTTTTTCTTATAGCCCTACTTAATTTAATAGTCATTTAGATGAAAGATCAGAAAATGTTTTCAGAAAATTAAAAAAGCATTTCTTCAGTGTCAGGAGAAAGGATTTGCCATTGTACTGTATATAACAGGAAGTAGGGTTGCCAAGTCTTCCAGATTCTCTAGGAGACTCTCTAAATTTGGCAGCAATTTTTAAATTCTCTTACTTCCAAATTGAGGCTTATTCCTTACATATTTACTTGACAAGACAATAAACCTTCGGAGTATGTATTAAAATGGACTAAATTATAGGCAACAGCATTTTAACTTAATGTTGCTGAGAATTGAAAGTGCTTCCAAAATTTTTTTATTCTTGGAATCAAATCTTTAGGAATTGGCAAGCTTAACAGAAAGGTAGGAGGTCAAAAGTGGCTCAAAAACTGTAATGTAATTAACATACAGTCCCTAACATGTGTATACCTATCAATCACATTCATTTTTGGGTTAGGCAAAGTGTAAAACTTATAATTATGCTTTATTTGGAAAAATAGAAATTTATCTGGAAGAAGAGATGGGTATACAGTGGTTAAAGCACCTACAAAAATTTGTTTGGGTCTACCAATACAACTTTTATTTTCTAAATTGAAAATGAAAGTTGTATTTTTATAATAACTATAGTGTATTTTACATTTCATGAGAATACATAAATACAGAGTAAAATAAGCAATTATAGTATTTAAATTTTAATAATAAAAACAACTCTAAATTCTTTAAGTAATGACAAAAGTCTGGTTTTTGTCATTAAATTTTAATGGCTGTCAAAGTTAAACCAACTTCTCATTAATCACAAGTGAACTTGACTTTATAATCATGTTTTATTTATATCCTTGTGTATAAGTTATATCTTTTATGCTATTAAGAATAGGTTGCATGATATTCTCTAAAAAACTAATAGATTTTGCAAAAGTAACTATAAGAGATTAATTTGGACTAAAGATAGGCAATTAGATCACCATCTTGTACAAAGTTCAAACAGTTTGAGCCAAAATAAAATAAAATAGGAACGATGATAGGATATCAACTTGCAACCAAACCAATGATAAGTTTCACAATAACAAGAATTGGAGAATATATTTATTTTTATTTTTAAACTTTATTAGAAAAAACTAATAAAAAATCCAATTTTATCTTTTCTAGCCTTTTTATTAAACAAAATCAGACAGCATTTTATTTAAATTAATTTTTGAACTGTTGCATTTTTAAAAGCTAGGCTAGTACAGAACAATCTCTTAGTTTTTGTGGTTTTATAATTTTGCATATAGTTTTTAATTACTTTCAACTTACTAAATGATCTTTCTGTTGTAGCTTTCTAAAGAGAAAAGTAATATATACAGTATATACGTATACACATACAAACACAAGAAAGCAAGTTAACTTTCAAGAAATCATTTTCCATGAAACCATTTAAGTAAATTGCTAATTATTTTTTAGTTTAAGTCTTAAGAAGTTTGCATGATGATATTTTGTACTTTTGCTTCTATGTACTTGCAAACATAACTTTTCAAAAATGAAATATTTAAAATCAAAATATTGAATATCATGGAGGGGATTTTAATATTGAATGCCACAAAATTTATCCCTGATTTTGATGACATTCTTTCAAAAAAGCAGTTGCAAATTTTACATAGATTTTTATGTCCATTGTTATTCAGAAATAAAAAATATCTTAATCTTTCACTACATCTTTTGAACCTAATTGCAGACTTGTCTTTTATGGCTTATATGACCCTTCTCAGAAAAAGGTTGGAAACTCCTGTGCTAAATTATCAAATATTTTAGCACAGGAGTTTTCAGTGGATTTTTTTTCCATAGTGAAAACAAATTTATCATATTTAGCTCTGAGAATGAAAAATGGCATTGAAAAAATCTGAAATAAAGCACATCTGATATCTACAGTTAATTATAGTAAAGAATCAGTTTCTTTGGGAAGCATCTGGCATTGAAAATATTATTTTTATTGATGGAAATAGCAATTGAAGATTACATATAGTTGTTGTGCCCAGTGTCATAAATTTTTAAAATGATGTGAGGTTTGAATTCAACAGAGAATATATTCATTTAGAACTAGAATGTTTTTGAAATAGAGATTGAAGGATTCAGAGTCAAGAGACAGTGAATTTTGGTTTAATTTTCTTAATACTTTATAGTTCCTAGAGTTATAAAGACTTTTTCTTGTGTGCATCTTTGAATGATTAAATGGACTTCAACACTATAATTGTCAAAAATAAGATGGAATTGCTAAAAATACAGTAGCTCTTGATAGAAAGTTTCTTATCCAGCATGACTGAGACTGAAAACATGCTCTTTGGAAAACCAGAATACAATTGCTGTATTATCTTATTCTTTCTACAGCTACCCAATCATCAGATCTTAATCTGATAAAATATTTAGACATTCATTTCAAGAATTAAAGTAGAAAATGTATTTTTAACAAAAAAGAACTTAAAAATATTTTACAAATGCAATGGGAAATGTTCAATGGAAATTTATTTTTAAAAATATCTTTCTTCAATACCAGAACAATTTTGTATTGTTATTTAAATCTAAGAGTTATTCCATTAGATATTTAATTTTGAATATGTAAATCAATTATATGGTTATTCTGTTGAATGAATATTTCTATATGAATAGTTTTGTGAGTACAGTCAAGTATAGATTATAATAAACATTTTTTATTTAATAGAAAGTAAACTCTTGTTTTTATGTAATTTCTGATTACGAAAGTATATAACATATAAATATATTTTTTAGTGTTATATAGTGCTTATAAAATAAAATTTTATCTCATGAATTCTTTTGTGAGTTACTGTATGTAGTTCAAAGTCTTAATTATACAGATTCACTGTGAGAGTCCCAGAGTTTGGCAAAAAATTTTAAATTCTCAGATTCCTAAATTGAGGTTTATTTTTCCCACATTTTCTCAGCATGCAGATCAACTTTTGGGTTATAAATTAAAACAGACTAAAGAATAGGTGACAGCATTTTGATATTACCAGGAATAAACCATGTCAAAGCTCCCAGAATCAACTCTTCAGGAGTTGGCAAGCTTAAAGTTAAGTAAGCAAGGACAAATTTAAGGATGGACAACATTTATACATAAATAAAGAGAGCTATAGATGAATGCCAACAAATATGGCAAGAACTTTATTACTCAACATCTAACATGGTAATAGATAACTTATAAGATTTTACAGATCAAAGCAATAAATGTGTCTGTGGTGAATGGATGGAAAGTGCTTACCAATTCTAGACAGAGAGATCTGTCAGTATGGAATATGTCCACCTTAAACTGCAATGCAGCACTTGCATCATGATGACAGGCTCATCAAGTGATCAAGTCATTGACTGGCTTGGTGACTTTCTAACCATCACTACTAGCAGTTGTGTTCATCCTTAAATTTTGGACATGTATGTGGTTTCTTCAATTTACTCTTACA